AACACATCTAAAATATGTGGAAAAATAGAGATAAATAAAAATGACAAATTATCATATATACATATATATATATATGTATATATATATATATATGTATATTTATATATATATATATATATATATATATATATATATATATATATATATATACACACACATACATACACACACACACACACACACACACACACACACACACACACACACACACACACACACACACACACACACACACACATATATATGTGTGTGTGTGTGTGTGTGTATGTGTGTATGTGCGCGTGTGTGTGTATTTATGTATGTGCATATACATACATACATACAAATACACACACACACACAATATACACCTATAAAGTACTAGAATATGTCATAAAATACGGTTAATCAAAACTCGGTAACATCCTAAAACGATTCCCAGAAAAAGGAATATGTAATACACGAAGAAGGATCCAAACTGTGCGTTTTTTTTGTTTTTTTTTGTTTTTGTTTTTGAAGCTGACAAAGCCACGAACTTCGTCTTATGCCTCCGCCTTCTGCATGGATATTTAACCATTACGGTATGTATATAGATAGATAGATAGATATAGATATAGATATAGATATAGATATAGATAAATGAGAGAAAGTGAGAGAGAGAGAGAGAGAGAGAGAGAGAGAGAGAGAGAGAGAGAGAGAGGGACATACACACACACATACATACATACATACATATATATATATATATATATATATATATATATATATATATATATATATATATATGCATATATATATATGTGTATGTATGTATATGTATGTATATAGATAGATAGATAGATAGATATTATGCATGTATTACTTACACACGCATATAGTGGAGATACTGGATGATTTCTATTCTAACAAACATGCTAAGGTATCCCTTAATGGTCAGGCATCCAACTGGACTGAAAGCAGCAACATACCTAAAAGTAGTATACTGGAAACGATGGTTAAGGACAACCTTCTTCATTTAAATGTGCTGGAATGTAAATATCTGACTGCAAAAAAAACAAAAGTAAATCTTAGTTCAGTGAGCTATCGGTGAGATCATCCGCATACTATGATACGGAGGTTTCATTTCCTTTGCTTTTAAAATCGTCCATCGATTTGCACTAAGTTCGTTTCCCGCTTCATACCTCAAAACAGTGCACGTGATATATGAAAAAAAATTGTAAAGCATCCTTGAAGTATGTAAATACACACAAAGTCTGTGAAAAACACAATGCAAAAAAAAACTAGATTTATTGAAAATGAGACTGCAGTTTCCAAATCCACCTGTATTCCTTCCTCAGGTCCTACCTCGAGCTCCCATACGCCGCTCGCCACCCTCCGTTCAGCCAGTGCGAAATGTCACAGGAATTAACAACGATTTTTCTGATGGCTCTTCGACGGGTCATCATTGGGTGCGCTGGCCTATCAGAAGCCTAAATTCATGTCCCATATTGAAAGGATAACTTGACTACCTCTGGAATGGGAGTCAGTTTAGCACCAACCTTTCATCAGCATGTTAGCGCTGAAAGGATCCAATTATAGGCCTAATAAGCTCTTTGCAATACTAATATGTCTAACTCTGCGCGGACATGAGCCTCGTTAAAATACTATGTCAGACATCAAACACTTTACAGAATCATCGAGATTCTATGTTGACATCAGTCCCTTTACAATTCCATAAAAAAGACTTTTACACTGATACTCCTTTAATATATATATATAAAAAAAAAGATCTTACACTGATATCAACCCAATTTTAATATCATAAAGATACCTACAACTTCTCTCCCATATAAAAAAATCTCTTGCACTAACATCAACCTATTTACAGTATCATAACGCCATCAGCTTCGCTTCGCTATCAAAAAGGTCCTTTGATGGTATTAAAAAATCTATCAAACTCTTTACAACATCATAAAGACTCCCGCACTGACATCAAAACCCACTGCAAAATCCATAGAAACTACTAGATATATATATATACATACATACGGATATATAAGATAGTGTATAGGTCTGAAATGACCGGAAGGAAAGCTAGGACCAGACGATACCTGATTAAGGTAATTTTTTAGCGTATATATATATATACATATATATATATATATATATATATATATATATATATATATATATGTGTGTGTGTGTGTGTGTGTGTGTGTATGTATATATATATATATATATATATATATATATATATATATATATGTGTGTGTGTGTGTGTGTGTGTGTGTGTGTGTGTGTGTGTGTGTGTGTGTATGTACATATATGTGTGTGTGTGTGTGTGTGTGTGTGTGTGTGTGTGTGTGTGTGTGTGTGTGTGTGTGTGTGTGTGTGTGTGTGTGTGTGTGTGATAAAACACTCCTCCGTGTTGATACTATGGTAGAAAAACCCACAATGCAAAAACTAGATTTATTGAAAATTGAAGTCCACCTGGATTCCATCCTCAGGTCTGAAGAGGAAAGGGAGAGGAGGGGGTGTAAAAGAGAGAGTGGAGAGGCAAAGCGGTGATGGGCTCTCAGGACCTCTAGGTCCCAAGGCTTTTGCTGTGGGTCTTCTTAAAGAGACCATTTGACCCCACGCAAAGACGACCTTGGCCTTGTGCGCATAACTTTGGGTGTTATCACACTTACCTTACTTTGGAGCTAGTGTTTTAATTGCAGGCCAGAGTGCTTACAATTAAAACACGAAGCACTGAGGTAATTGGCAGTTTTACTGCGAGGTGCCGGCCAAACACTTAAGGGTTCATCCCTGTTTGGCATGGTTCAACACCGACCGGCCCTAACACACAAAGACTGTCAATTGTTCAGTATGCCTCCCTTTTTTGATACCACTTTCCGCCATTTCACGTTCCTGTCATATTGGCTCTGCTAGCCTCCCCCCCCCCCCATCTCCCATCACCATCAAACTTACTCTATGCTACCATGGGGCACATGATCAAATTACCATACTCTGGGGAGCCCATCTCTTGTGAGGTGGCTCTCCGGAGAATCTTCGAAATCACTGAGGTAGCCGGCACGCACTGCTTTAAAGTACATAACGATTATAAAGTTGTTGTAGCCAAATCAGAACAAATGACCCCTTTTCTCTCCTCAACTGGCCAAAGAAAACTCGCGGCTCAGGGCTTTAAACCCCTTCCTTCCCCTTAAACCAAGGCAAAACGCACGGTCGTGGCAAAAAAGATCGACAAGACAATCCTGCCACGATCGTGTGAGGCCATTCAGGCGATGTCACTGTAGTTGACATTTACAAACCTCGCGAATCTCGGACCGTCAAAATCCGATGCTAATCGCCTGAAGAGGCGCAGAAACTCACGTCCGTCCCCACTTATAACATTGAGCCTGAGTACTTTATTCAGGTGCAGTCGTTGTGGCGAAGTCGGGCACTTCTTCGCCACCTGCAACAAGCCCATCAAATGCTGTAATTATGAGGGGCAGCACGTCGCCGTCAGCGGGTCTTGCCCTACACGAAAAGAAATTTTGAAGACGAAAAGACAAGCACGTAAACAAAACACCAACCCAACATACGCCTCAACAGTTCAACCACCTCTACAAACATCTACACCCGTCACCACAAGACCTCCCACGAATCCCCCGAGAACCACAATGCCTCCTCCACCTCACCCCAAACCAACACCCACACACCTGACATTAACACTAAAATACAAACAATACTACACGTAGCTTGGATAGCTGCCAAATGCAAAGCAGAAAGATTCGCAAACATTGTCCCTGTACTCTTACAAAGAAACAACCTCCCCAACGTTGTGATTCCCAGGGAAATCTTTGAAGACGAACACCTTTACATACCTGAATATCACTCACAAACAAACACAAACACCGAAGCCCTTCCTGTAGATAGTGGATCATTTTAAGATTTTAATGTAATACTCTCCGTTAACTGTTCCACTGATTTTGTACAATCGGCCAACACCTTTACTAGTAATGCCTTTTCTTCTTCTAACTAATACAGGCCTATCACTTATTAAGCGAAGTCTGTTTTCATCACTGAAAAGTACTTTTCCCAGAGGAAACCTCTGTGTGCGATTGCCTACTCAAGACTTTTCTTCTTTGCCTTTCCAGTCAATAATGGCTTCTTCTTGGCCCTACATTACCTTAAACCACTTTCCAGAAGTCGCCTCCTCACTGTCCTACTACTCAAGTCTACGTCATTTTTTTTCTTGAGTTCACTGGCTAATGTCTTCCTTCTGCCTCGAAAGGCGGCCTGTATAATGACTCTTCGTGGACAACAACAACTCTCACCCTGTGTTCTATACTCAGTCTGGGAACAGGGGCCATACCCTATGACAAATAAAAGTCAATTTCAGTCGGCCTAAGTAATCAAATACTATTTTTCAATGATAAGTGGGTAATTAGATTGCAAAAAAATCTTCAATTTACATTTAAAAATGTATTTGCTTGAAAAATAATTTACTCACCAAAAAAATTAAGAATTCTGCGTTGAATTCGTTAAGTAATAATTGTTTGAAGTAACGAAGCAACAGAAACCACACTCAAAGCGAAGCTAGACAAAAGAGGGCTTTTAGCAAAGCCTTTTCATCGCTAATCTACCTGAAACTTCAATGATTCTTGTTGCATTTTATGTCTAATTCACGAAAGTGTAAGAGTTATGTGTGTATATGTGTGTGTGTGTGTATATGTATGTATATGCATTTATGCATATTTCTTTCTGTGGATATATATATATATATATATATATATATATATATATATATATATATATATATATATATACATATATATATATCTGCATCTCAATCTCAATCTCTCTCTCTCTCTCTCTCTCTCTCTCTCTCTCTATATATATATATATATATATATATATATATATATATATATATATATATATATATATATATAATTTATCTAACTTTCTAGTTATTTATTTACGGATTATAATATATTATTATTGTTACAATTTCTTAACGCTAAACAAAGGCTGGCATTCTTTAACAAACAAACATATAGTTATTTTTGTTTTTATTAAACAATCACTTCCGTGGTACACAAAACTTAAATAATTTATCCAGAAAATAAGACAATTCTTTAAAACCGAACAAGGGACGCATCGCAAAATCTCTCCTGGCATAACTTGAAACAACAACCGAATGTATTTCCGCACCAAGAAACCTCAGCTCATCCAACCGAGATCAGAGGTCATACAAAGTCAATGCATGACCTGTAGAGCCGTCTTCGCCCAGAGGGTCAGCATCTTCGCGGCTCCGGACAACTTTTCCGAGAAGGACTCGACCCCAGAAGCCGAGGACGGTTGCAGGTAAGTGCAGTTATTGGCCGAGGTCCACCAGGCTTGGAGGTCGGGCACGGTCGTCACGCTGCTCTCCCGGTGAAGCTTGAAGCAGATTTCGCAGAAGGGAGGGAACGGCGTGACCTTCCAGTACCGGCGCCAGAGGTGATAGCGAGCGTATTCTGTGGGGGACTTGGATAGCCTGGGGGTAAAGGGAAGAGGGTGGCCGGAGATTAGTGGAAGATGAGAAGAAAAAGAAAAAAAACACGTAAATACATACACTCATAAGGTGTATATATATAATTATATACATATACATGGACACACACACACACACACACACACACACACACACACACACACACATATATATATATATATATGTGTGTGTGTGTGTGTGTGTGTGTGTGTGTGTGAGTGTATGTGATTGCGTGTGTGTGTGTGTGTGTGTGTGTGTGTGTGTGTGTGTGTGTGTGTGTGTGTGTGTGTGTGTGTGTGTGTGTGTGTGTGTGTGTGTGTGTGTGTGTAAAAGTAGACATATAAAGATTTCATATATGTCTGTACAGGTTACTAGGCGTTCATATATTTTAGTGTCATAATATTTATTTCCGGGCTAGTCTTCCTGCCCTTCTTCTGTCCGCGTTGATTACTACCAAGAATTTCTTGCTTAGAAATGACCTGACCGCACGTAGATGATTCGGCCTATGTCAAAGAACCCGACGGCTAGACATCACACGCGCTAGTTGCCAACCTCGACAAACTTTTCAAATTTAGGACGATTTTTTTTTCGTATGAAGCATTAAATAGAATTCGTGCCTTCTCTGTGCCTCCAGCTGAAAGGGTGTACCTGTGTGATTTATCTAAACACCATTGCCTTGATATATTCTGCGTGTGCTTTACCTGTCTATTGAGTACTCGTGTATTTTGTAAAAGTTGTCGATATTCGTGATTTATACAATGTATGATTTATTCGTGAAGCCTGTCACAATATATATATATATATATATATATATATATATATATATATATATATATATATATATATACATATATATATATATATATATATATATATATATATATATATATATATATATATGCATGTATCTTCTTCTTCTACGACGTTTCCCTTATTTAGGGGTTGTCACTTTCCACATCTTG